ATATATTTCTTGCTCTAAAATTTATAACAAAGCAACTACATTTAAAAACTTAAATTTAGTCTGAAACTTAATTTTAAATTCAGTGATTCCTAAAATTAAGTTGCAAGAATACTGAGGATTTAATTTGATACACATATGTGTCACTAATACAGAGAGGCAAGTTGACAAAGTCTTAAATATGATGACGAGTCCATGATAAGAGCTCAATATTGCACTGAAGAAACATTGTACATTATTATAATTTTATACATAATCTATATCAGTACAGTAAAAACAAAGGTTCCAGTTAGTTTTTTTGTTCGAATGCACATACTAAAGGTAAGATTATCAAGTAAAACCTTAAAAGACTGCTTAATTGAATTGCTCTTTGAAATTGAATTGAAATGCTCTTGTATTGAGTATGAAAGCAAAACCTTGTTTGTGATGATATTTTTCACTTAAACATACCTTAGTGAACACATAATTATTAGTGTAGAGATTCACTTTTTAAATATAATACGACTTTTATGTTTTTTGAATGATATATCTCCTATTTCCTAAATATAGTACCAGTAATGGCTTTCCCTATTTTTAAAACATATTAATCCATGATTAGAGATATAAGATTGTTAGATCACTTAAATAAAATACTGACACTTTACAATTAATTGCATAGATTTGATAATTAGAGTAGTAGGTTGAGGTCAAACAAAAATTCCATCTCACAGTATAAGGCTTGGTTTCAAAACATCTAAAGCTGAAAGAAAAAATAAATATATATATATATCTGTAAAACGAATGTTGCATAATTATGACATTTCTTTGTTTATTTATTCAGTTTATCATTCATTTAGTCATTTTTATATTTATATAAAGTTACAGTAAAAATCGATTGTGAAGTGAAGTGTAAAATATTTCTTAGATTTTTCCATCCTCAATATTTATTTTTTTTTTAGATTTAATACATACTGTATGTAGGATCATGAATTGTGTTAAAGACAGGACAGTTCTTTGTGTGATGTGGTGAGTGGATTCACCAACTGTAGAATAAATGAAAATGCAAAAAATTCTATTAAGCATTCAAAGCTTGGATTTAATTCAAATTTGACTGCTTGCATACAATATACACATTATTTTGTGTAGAGAAGAAAGAGATTTAGTTATGTTTTTGTAAAGTTACAATTCAAATTATGGCATTGTTTTACATGGTCCCTATTATCATTTCCAGAGTAAAATCTTATAACAAAAGTTTGACTAATGTTTCTTTAAAGTGATCCTTACACGTAGCTAGAACCATAAAACATGACAACATTTTATGTGAGGAATGGTAATATGTGACCAGTAATAAAGTTACCAATAAAAATTTAATTTAACTTAGAATATAATCTTAATCTTTGAAATTATGAAATAGGAAAGAAAAAAGGGAAAAAAAATGTTTTTTTGTAGATGTATGACCACATTTACAGTACTATAAAGGATAGACATGAGGGATGCACATTTTCCAAGACAAACAACCTAAGTTAAAAACAAATTCCATAGTTTTTTCCATAGGACAGCCAGCTTATAATGATATTGACTTATTAATTGTTTTTCAATAATATTTTTTTCACTGAAAACACGAGGGAAGAAACATGCTTTTTAAAATTGAAATAATAAAGGACTTAATAGGTAACTGTTTCATTTCTTGATATTTTTCAAGAGAGCTGAATCGTAGCATCAGATAGGGTACAATAAGCCTCAATTAGTTTGCCAGAAGACAACAGAAAAATCGTATTTTGTGTATGCATGGAGGTACTGTATCCATGGTATATGTACAGTATAATCAATGAACAACATTTAAAGTACTGTATGAATACATTCAGAAATGATTTTGAGTGTTTTATAAAACTGTTACTACTTTGGCGTATTACTTACTTTCAGTAGTCTTTTCATAAGGTGAATGGTTGTCGATATCAGGTTGATCAAGTCTTGGGATCCTCAAAGTTTTTCTGTTAATAAGGTACCGGTAGCTTGTTCGGATCAATTTTCTGTAAAAACATCCTCATTGGCAACTTTCAACCAAAATTCTTTTGTTTTTAATCTGCACTGTCATCTTCTGCCATGAGTAGGTTGTCAACCCCATAAAGACACTACCTTGCCAATATGCCATGATTAGCAGGCTGGAGCCGTCGCAGAGACCAGCCCAGAGCTTGGCCTACGTCTGTAAGCTTTTAATGTTTAATCAAGTTGGATACAGTGGCAGTAGGCACATAATATTTATAACTCTAATCCTCATCCCTACTACTTATGCAGACTGGCTGGGACTAGGCCTAGCAAGAGCCTCCTCAGGCCTAGTCCCAAGAGAGGCCTGCTAGCCTACCTAGGGCTTAGCCTAGTTTTGAGAGCCATACTGTCCTAGTACGAAGCCTAGCCTATGCCAGGCTTGTAGAGGCCTAAGCTAGGCTAGTTGATTGTGTTGTTAAAGGTTTTTGGAGAAGTTAACAAACTAGTCCTACCTTTATACTGTAGTTTTATACTGTATTTTTCATAATTTGGAAATACACAAAAGCACGACCATCCATACTCCATGATACTGTATCACAGGCCCAGGTCTTGTCTATACACAAAAGTAAATTTTCCGTTTGTTGGTGTTTTAAAAGTACATAGAAAAGCAGTATATATTTATAAACTAGTTAACATTATATTTTAATTTAATACAAATAGTTCATTTAATTGATAATAGATTTGTTTCAAACACTAGAAATCCATAATTGGAGCAGTGGGGACGCCACCACTTGGTATGCCTATCCTTTAGTACTGGAAAGAAGGTTAGTGAAGTGGCTAGTTGCTAACGGAGGTCATTAATGACCAAGGATGAAAGTTAACAGATAGTCAATTGCATTACTTCTCACAAGTTAACAATTACTTATGTACTAACTGATTGCAGAATGGGTTGCAATAATATGTGTGGCGTAGGCATGTTTTTAAACATTGTCTTTGATGTATGAAATGTCCACAACCACCTCAGCCCCACCATGGGTGGGTTATGCATGCACCGACGTGGGGAATTTAACCTTTTATGTTTTTTTGTTTAACGGCCTTATAATAATATTACAGTCTAATGTGACCACAACACAAGGAAGTCCATTATTCTTTAATGTTTAGCATAGTACAGTACCGAGAATTCTGATTGTTTATATAATTTCAAGAAATATTACGTTCAAGGAAAATTTAACCTAAAAATCTTGGTTATTAATATTAGTCTAAATTCCATATTATGACCACAACTTATAAGTTGTAAATTATTCTTTAAAGAACAATTCTTTCAATGGTTGTACTCTTGACCAAAAAAAAAGCAAACAAAGCAAAAAAAAAATATAAAAAAAATACTGTATTATTGTGCTTTCGCAAGCTGGGAAAATAATTAAATATGCATAAATGTCTTCTGTGATAGGTTGATTGCCAACTTTATAATTGTTTGGAGTATATGGTCACTTCCCATAACACATTACATCCACAGGGTGCCCCAAAGCCAAAATCTAAAAAAAAAGTAAAAAACGGATAATTTGTGTTTTTTTAATCATGACAGCCTGAGTAGATAACTGGGTAAAATTAAGAAGTAAAGATTTGTTTTATAAATCTAAGAACCGCACAAATTTATGTTCAATACATTCTCGACTGTCATAAAATTGTGGACCTTATCAAATTTGGTTGGGGTGCGTAAGCACCAGGGGCGGCGCTATGGGGGGGGGAGGGGTGAAGGCCCCTTCGGGGAGGTCTTGCATTCCCCACCCTCCACGTCGGAGAGAAAAACTACAATTCATCGGGGAGAAAAAACAATTAGATATAAGCCTATGTATTTTTTACATATTAGGACTCTAAAATCAATTAATTAAGTTTTTGAAATCCTTAAATTGTCATTTTTTAGGGGGGGGGGAACCTTCGCCGACTAGACAACTTTACAAAGATTTTCAGTGACGCCGGACCACGGCCACTGGTACGCACCCAACGTCCCTTACCATCGCACTTTGGTTATACAGGCCTGCAAACTTTACATTTTACTTGCCAATTAGCGTAATAGAGTAATATAGGTCTACGCTTATTAATTACAATATCTTCTCAATTTCTCTTTTTTTTTTCTTCAGTGTACGTTATCACAGTGCATCGCACCGCCAATTTAATTACACTCCCTTTTCAATTAATACTAAGACAACGCAAAACAGTATTGCATTCATTTTGTATATATATATTTATGTCTTTAGTTGAGAAGTAGGTGGCATTTCTGACAGAAAGAATTCGAATTCGCCAGTAGGGACTGCAATCACTTTATATTTAAAAAAATATGTTATCTTTACTCTGTATCACCATGGCAAACGGTGCGAAGGTCTGAATCCACCCGAGTCAGCTGCTCCCCAGCCTTACCGCCAGCGGTGGAGCCAGAAATTTGTCGACAAGGGTCCGGCATGTACGACGGAGGGTTCCGACCCAAGGGGTCGACAGCAAGTAATAAATACTCACTTGTAGGGTTCACGGGGAGAGTTTTTTTTTGGCAGTATGGTCAAAAAGTGCTTTTAGGCAACAATATTAGGGTTTGACAGTACGTACGTTATTTGTATAGGAAAATAATTTTTTTTTTTTTTTTGGTCCGACGACCTAGTCACGTCGGACGGCAGGGCGTCCACGCCTGTCACACTTAGAGCCGCCACCGCTTACCGCTCGACCACTCGACTCGTTTGTTACATTATGAAGATGATCATTCATTTAGTGTGTAATTTTTTAATCAATAATCGTCTTTATGCTCCGCAAAAAGTATGTAATATTTTGTTGCCACCGAAATTGTTTTCCTATTCCGTAAACGTGCTTGCTTTCTGGGAGGTTTGTTGATAACTTTTAAAAGTTTCAGCAAGCAATTAGCTATTTTTACTGTCTATCGTCAACAATGTTTTGGTGACTGAGTAAATGTTTATTTTAATGCATAACTCTAAAGATGATGCCGTACATATAAGAAATGTTTATGACGATTTACCGAGCCAGACACTGGCACTCATCTGGAAAAAATGCATCGTACTTCCATTTTTTCGGTCTATTTAAGGACACTTTTAAATTCCTATTTATCTGGATTAAAATATCGTAAAATAATAATTAAAACGATTCTACAAAATATTGAAGGAGGAGTTGTGACTACAATAGAAACTCTCGGCTAGATTCATAATAATAATAATAATAATAATAATAATAATAATAATAATAATAATAATAATAATAATAACAATAATAATAATAATAATATCGTTTAGTAGGTAGGCCTAAGTTTTTGAATGCATACATTCCATGGTCTGGTGAATGCGTATGTTCACTACAAAATAAACAAATTCACCATCTTAACCCCAAAAACTAGACTTGCTGTATATTCTCACGTGTATAAGACGAGGCTTGAATAGCAAACTACGGTTGAAAAACAGGGGGTCTTACACGCGCAACACATACACATCTTTTTATTTTTAAATCCTGTTCGTCTTATATGTGCATCGTAGTGTAACACGAACTTACTACTGAAGTGGAGCTACTGTTAGTGTGAATGAGCGCAATTAATGCGTGGAAATATGATTTTTGATTAACATTTAAAAGCCAGGATAATAGTATTATTTGGAAGTGGCCCTATATTTGGCTCCGTTTAATAACCAGCTGGATGCAGTATCATGACCATAAATCGCAGTAAACAGAAGGTATTCCGACAATGAAACAGGGGGTGGGGGAGAGAAATTGTCTTATACGCCCGACATATAAAAATAGTTCAAAAATCTGTTCAAACTCTGGGGGTGGGGATGTAGTGAGCGGAGGTTTGTCTTAGAAGCGAATTACCTCTTTAAAACACAACATACGTCTTTTCCCCATTGACATAATGAGAACTGATGTTCTCATTATGTCTTCCACTCCCACACCCATATCTGGATCCGCCACTGTACCTTGCTTATATTTTATAGGTTGAGGAAAAAATCTCTTAAGAATTCCAAGGCAATTTTGCATTGAACCAAGCTATAATAACTTGTAACGCTTTAGAAGATTTGGATGATGGACCCAACTGACGCTAAGTACTCACACAGTAGCCAGCATTCAACTCAACTCAAAGGAGAATAGCCACTAGTAATTTATGTAATGACTTCCTTAAGATGGAATAATTACCACATCAGGATGCATGTCTAATTCCCTCTAAATAGGCTATTAAATGTATAATAAATATTGTATTTCTAAGATATAGTTACAGTAGTTATAGTTAAGTCGTTGAAACAAAAAATTATGACAACAAGGCATGTAGACTGTAGAACACTTCATTTATTTTCGAAAGAAATTTTCGGCCAGTCCTCTGGCCTTCATCAGCTTTGATAAAGGCCAGAGGACTGGCCGAAAATTGCCTTGTTGTCATAATTTTTTGTTTCAACGACTTAACTATAACTACTGTAACTATATCTTAGAAATACAATATTTATTAAGCTGTAGACCAAATGAAGTGTTGGACTGTTAAAAAGAGTAAGGATAACCAACACGGGGACAGCCGTATGACAATGATGAAGAAGATAATGATGATGATACAATGATAACGAAAATAAATGATAATGACGATTTTATTTATCCATTTTCAATATTAATAACACAATTCCACTGCACTTCCCTTAATGTTAAGGCCTATGAGAATAAAAAATTAACTGGCGAGATCTGATCAAAAGTCAGATATTCTTTTATTCAAAGAAACACATTTGACAAATGATATCCTAAACAAATCTGTTTTTTTTTTTTTATTTTTTTTTTTTTTTATTTTTTTATGGAAGGGATTTGCCTTCCAAAGTATTGGATCAACACAAGGTGTTTTAATTCTTATTAACCAAAATTTTGATATAGAAATACTAGATAAAGTAATAGACATAGAGGGAAGATATTAAAAGTTAAAATTTGTGATATGATATATGTAATAAAAACATTTATGCACCAAATGATGTTAAAAATTGTACATTTTTCAGAAAATTACAAAAAATAATCGAAAACTTCACCAATTTAAGCGAAGATAAGCCTCTCATTGGAGAAGATTTTAACTGTATCTTAAATAAAAATATAGATCTAAAAGGTAGTGTGAACAAAAATGACACATCACTGTTTACATTAAAAACATTTATGAACAAATTAGAAATAACTGATAAAATGCAATTCACTTGGAGAAGACAATCAATCTACAGAAGTTTATGACTACTTTATAACATCAAAAACAATATATAAATCAATTGAAATTTTGTCATGTGATATTATGTCTACTGTGTCTACAGATCATTTAGGAGTTTCATTAAATATAAGTACAGGCATTCCTAAAAGAGGTCCAGGGTTTTATAAAATTAATAACAATCTGCTTAATGACAATACTTATATGGAAACAAATTTGAAACCTAATACATAATACAGTTAATAACAATCAACACTTAAATAAAATATTATTATGGAAGACAAAATAAAAATTAATATTCAATATCAAGTGAAACTAAAAATAAAATGTCTAGAAAAAAAACCTTCAAAACGAATTAAAAATATTAAATGATTCATTAGTGGTCAATTATTCAGAACACATTGTTAGTAGATAAGAAAGAAAAAAGAATTTGAGATGATGCAGAAATTAATGGCGCCCAGATTAGGTGTAAAATGGATTGAGGAGGGAGAAAGAAACAGTAAATACTTTATAAATACTTTATTAACACATAAAAAAACACAATGGTTAAAAAAAAAAAAAAAAAAAAAAAAAAAAAATCAGAAGCCTCAAAACATCAAATGGGTATATAGATTCAGATACCAAACACATTTTAAATGAAGAAATAAATTTTGGCATTCTCTATACAAAAAGAGATATCGTTAAAACAGAATTCAAAATATATCTAGATTATGCTAAAATAAATAAGTTAAGTGAAGATGAGAGAGATATGTGTGAATGATATATTACAGTTAATGAATGTACAAAGCCTATAAAAATGATGAAATCCAACAAATCACCAGGACATGATGGTTTAAATATTGAATATTTTAGAGTTTCTTGGGATGATATTGGTAACATTTTATGTTACGCATTAAATATATCTTATGAAAAAGTAATTTTGAGTAATTCACAAAGACATGGGGTTGTTAATTTCTTATATAAAATGGGGATAAACAACTACTTGAAAATTGGCGCCCTATTACACATCTTAATATTAACTACAAAAAGTCTGACAAAAATATTCAGTATCAGAATGCATAAAGTAATAAGTGGAATAATTGATACCGATCAAAAGGGTTATATAAAACTAAGATTTTCAGGTGAAAATATTCGTCTTGCAAATGACATACTGTACACCTACTTGAATACAGAGACAGTGAAAATATGGGAGGCATCATGCTCTAATTTGATTTTCGAAAAACGTTTGATTCCATTATTTGAGATTTTATGTTGAAACAATCAAATCATTAAATTGTGGTAAATCGTTCTGTTGATGGATTAAAACAATTTATAATACTACTGAATGTATAATTAACAATGGGTGGTTATCAGAAAGTTTTTAAATGTATAACGGCACACGTCAAGGCTGTCCTCTCTCTGCATTGTTGTTCATCTTAGTATCGCACAACTTGCTGACGACACACTTGTATTTATTAGGAATGAAAACAATCTTACAGCTGTATTTAATATTATAGAAAAATACTGTAGAATGTCTGGCTTAAATCTTAAGAAAAAAACAAGGGCCATGTGGCTAGGAAAATGAAAAAAAACACAAAAAAAAAACCAACAAAAAACAACAAAAAAAACCCAAAAAAAACGTAAAGATAAACCGTACGGATTGTATTTGAGTAATAAACCAATACAAATATTAGGTATTTATGTCGGTTATGACAATATCAAAAGTGAACATTTAAATTGGATAATAAATTTACTTTAAAAAAAAATATTGAATGTTTGGAAATTTATCATTAATGGGTAAAAAACACTATTTAAAATTTATTTTAAGTCTGGCACTTACAAAACTGTTGTATAATGCATCAATAATTAAAACTCTAATGAACTCTCATAATTCAATTTATTTGGGATGGAAAGAAAGAAAAAATAAAAAGAAAAACAATGGCTTGTTCAACTAAAAATGGTGGAATGAAAATGCCTTATTTTCACCTACAATGTACCCTGAAAATAAGCTCGGCGAGAAAACAGATAATGCAAAGTGGAAATTACTTCCAATATACTACTTCTAGAAAGTCTGTCCAGTAAAGGTTACGGTATCTTTACTATGTCAAACGTTAAACTAACACACTATTCTTTGGATAGAATTCTTCCCTCTTTTTACTTAAATGTACTCAAGGTCACTGCCAAATATGATTGTAATATTAAAGAAGTTATCAATTACACGGAAGTTATAGAACAGAACCTTTGGGGAAACAAGTGTATAAATTTGAACCAATAATCATTTTTATATAAAAACGGGATTGAATCTAGTTTTGTCAAAATCTAACTGTTCCCTGGTCAAAAGAAACAGAATGTTGACGTCAAAGGAAATCTAATTGCTATATTCAATCAATAAATTATGGAAAAATGTGCACCATTCAATTACATTTGTGCATAAGCCAATGATTATTTACAAAGACATTGTCTTAGGTAGTAACATTAACATTATTGAGATTTATACAATTGCAATGTTTACAATTTATAAACAAAAACTTCTTCTAGAGTGTAAAAAAACCCCTGTATGTAAAGATATCTGGAAATATTTTACAATTGAATTAAAATCTATAAGTGAATATGATTTGTATAGAAACAGTGAATGTATGTATATAATGTGTGTATGCATGTGCAGTGTGTATATATATATATATATATATATATATATATATATATATATATATCTGTATGAGTGTAATGGGTGAATACGTGTATATGTATATGTATGTGTATTGGTGTAATTATATGTATGTGTATACATGTATTGTTACTGCTCGTTCATCACACTTACGCTAATTGTATGAATTAATGGAGAATATAATGTAATAATGCTGAAAACAATCTTAAAAATAAAAAAAAATAAAAAATGAAAACCATCTAAATTTATATTGACAAACAAAATGCAAGACTAATCTCAATACACTGTAGTTTTCAGGGAGATATGTTCTTGCTCTGGCTCCATTGGTTTTAGAATGGCTCCAGAAGATAGCAGACTTGTATGATTATGATTACCAATAATATTATGTTCAGAAATATTTTTTTTAAAGTATATTATTGAAATTAGTTTAGCTGCCAAATGCCCCGTATAACATTAAATGATATATATATGTTTTCTCTAAATATTTAATGTGATAATGACTGTATAAGAATGAGAAAAAAATACATGTGAATGATGCACCCACACAAAAGAGAAAAAAAAATCAGTAAACCAAATGAATTGAACATTCTTGCAAAGTCGAGTGGTTAAGGAAGGGGCTCCGAAACGTACATCCATAATATTCATGGTTCGAACGTCCTCCTCGCCATAGTGTCTGGTGGTGGAACAAGTCTTCTTGGATAAGGACTATAAACATAGGCCCAGGTACACAATTTAGATCATGTGCACTTTCAAGAAAACCAGTACATCTTTCGAGACGAGTAGGGGGTAATCCCAGTGTACTGGTGGACAGACGACAGATAGCTGGTATCGGTTTAGTGGGTAGCTCAGACACAAAGACCCTTAAGGGAGCAGCAAAATATTCTAAGAGCATCGAGCTACTCCACATCTAAACGCTTTTAGACTTCAGTATAAAGCGCAAAATCGAACCACATTAAAAACATTACATTATTAAAATATGTTTCGCTTTCATTTCTGTTGTATTGATTTGGGGACTGATTGAATGTTAGTAGCTTCGATGTGGGGGCATTGAATTTCGGCATGCCCACTGTGCACATTTCCATCAACAGGCACATAATTATAATGAAAACACAATACAGAGAATTATATAAAAAGCTGTGGATACATTTTTATTATACAATTGCAAACCATAACACTTGTTTGGTATTAAAATAATTAGTTTTTATATTCTTCTCATGTCCATTTTTAATAAATTACACAATTTTAAGAAAAGGTAAAATTATTGATACGTGATGTCTAAATTAACTTTCTATAGTCTGATACAATTATCTCTACAGCAATTAACTTTTACATCAATATATACAACTACATAGAAAGAAAATCAATTTATTAATAACCAAATGGTAAAATAAATTCCAAATTCACTAATCTAAACCCAAACTCATTATCAAAACCAG